CCCGCCACGCGTGACATCCTCCCCCACCTATTCTTGCGATGCCCTCATCGCGTCCTTGCTACGAAATGCCTCCATCGACCTCGAGCAGCCTCTCTCGACTCTTGAGCCTCGTTGGTGACAGTTCCCCCTGGTCATTCATTTGATTGAACATTCGATGTTCTTATATACTACGGATCACCTCTGTGTAGACTGCAGACTGTTGACTACTGTAAGTTGACTGAATTAGCTTAAGGTAGTCAATGTCATCTGCGGATCGATTCTCTTCTTTTTGCAGTTGATGATCACCCTTTCTATTGTAATACTCAAGTGCTGATCATTTTATTGCAAAATATATCGCGTCCTAGTTTTCTTCAGTCTAATGATCTATGTTTCTAAAAAAATTTTTGGCATACAGGATTAATTTGCTCAACTGGAGAAGAAGCTGATGGAATATGAGCTATCCCTTGTTTTCTTCAAAAACTTTGAAATCAGTCTCTGTGGGTTAAGTAGCTGAGAGTGAAGCTAAGATGACAATGTTCAAGTTCTCAAGTAGGAGGAAACTTTAATTAATCATGTTGTTTATGAATAATTTATGATTTTGAATTTTCTGGACTGGAGTTGAATTTTATAAATATTTTTACCAAAAAAACCCACGTGTACCCATCAACCCGCGGATACCCAGCGGGTTGGGTTGGGTTTGAGTTTTTCAAACCCAGCGGGTTTTACCCCGGGTTTTTTTGACGGACAAACCCATGGGTTTGGCAAAACCCACCCCAACCCGACCCATTGCCATCCCTATGGGTACCCGCAAAATGGGGGGCGGGTAACCAAACCCACCCCAATTTACACCCCTAACTAATATAGCATGGCATTTATGTTAGACCAAGTGAAGACCCGTGGTCGCACTAAATGTTGGGAATTTTGTTCAAATTATTATCATGGTAATTATCAAACCAAACAAATCTAATCTCTATTAATTATGAAATACAATATCATAATCAAATTGTCTAAACTATATAACAATCAAATTAATTAAACGTAAAGGAAGACATGAGGCAGGATCTGGGAGGCTATCATGGGCATGAAAGTAGTAGACTACCATTCGAAATATCTAGGACTTCCTACTGTGGTGGGAAGACAGATGAAGGTAGTGTTCAGTTATCTCGTTGATAGGTTAAGAAAGAAGGTTAAATTGTGGAAGAGCCGACTTTTATCGCGTGGAGGGAAGGAAGTTCTTAGAAACCAAAGTAGTTGCACAAGCTCAGATGACTTATAAAATGCAGGTTTTTTTAGTCCCTATTACTGTCATCCATGAAACTCAAAACCTGATCTCTAACTTCTGGTGTGGACAGCAGAAGGCAGAGAGTAGAACTAACTGGGTGGGGTGGAAATAGGGGTGGGCATCGGGTTTGGTAAACCCGAATTGGATAGGATCGAACCGAACTTGAACTGAACCGAAACTGAAATAATGTTGTTCGGTTCGAAATTCGAAATAGCCCTAATTAAGAAAACAAGATTCTTTCAACCGAACCGATGTTCCGAATTTCTAACCGAAAACATGGATTATACTTTTTTCTTTCCAAAGTTGTCCCTACCTTTTAATTATAAACCCGAAGTTACCCTTGGTTGATTCTTCACCTACTAGACTCTCTTTCTTAGCTGTCATTTTACATCTCCATCGTGTCTTGCTGCTTTCCAAGGAAGAAGAGCAAGCGACTAAAGCATACACATCGGTGATCTTCCAGCGACATCTGGATCGTTTGAAGGACGAGGAGCTAGATTCTCCTCTTCAAAGATTGAGCCAGGTACCTTGATTCTGTTTGACCCTTCTTAAATGTATACTTGTATCATTCAACTGTGATGATCCGACAACAGAGGGGTTTCTGGTGGAACGAGGAGTACGCCTACCCAGATACACCTGAAAATGTTTGGGACAACTTTCTAAAGGTACTAGTTCCTTACCTACTTCCGCCTTCACTTATTGATGATTGGATGAGGCTTTTAAAAAAGTTGGCGGTCAATTAAATAAGTTGGATGAGGAAATTAAATAGGTTGGGTGAGTGTTGGTTTATGGTACTTGAGTAGCTTGTATTAATAGTGGGATTTTTTACTTGTTCTCAATGCAGTCACATGCTGATTGTAAATCTTATAAACGCGTCCCATTCCCACGGTACTTTGAACTGGGATCTGTATTCGGGAAAGGACTTGCAACTGGTGATGTTGGATTCTCGGGTAATGATTCGAACATTTCAGAATTAGAAGATGACAACTCTGATGAGGATGACAACCCACCTTACCCTCTCGACCAAATGAACACCGCTGTTGTGGATGAAACAATGTTGAATATGATCAATGATGGTGTGGAAGCTCGCGTGAACAAGAAGTGGCCTACAACAAATTCAGAATCGGGTCCTTCTTAGAAGAAGAAAAAGAACAAGAAAGGAGATGCTTAATCGCACATTGGTGAAGTGTGCACTGAATTTGGAGGACTTAGACACCTCATTAAAGAGTCTGTGGACACCATTGCAAGGGCTTTGGGGGAAAGTGAAGACTACAACCTCATGCGTAAGGAATTGTTGACAAACTTGGAGAAAATGGATGGACTCACTAGAGCTTAGATGATAATTGCTGTGAGGAAGTTTTCCAACAATACAGGTGACTTGAAGTGTTTCTATGAGCTGGAGAAGGTATAAGACAGGCTGACACTTGTTTTTAATCTCCTCAAAGATGAATGAGTGCATTGTTTCTAGTGTCTATGTAGTTGTATAGTTAGCCTATTATGTTGTCAGTAGTTAGGTAGTTGTCTAATTTGCAAAGAGGCCTTTTGTCTATCTGTCACTATAAACACTTCAATGACAGTCTTTGCAAATGTAGGACAGTCTGTTATTTTGTGAAGTTGTGTAATTAGCTTCATCGGGCTAGTTTCTGTAACGTTCCTATGATGAACACTTCAATGTACCCTATTTCAATCGGATGTAAGTACCTATTGTAACTGCTAGACAGTTGGTAAGTTTACGATGGTGAATGTAATGATCTGATCTCTTTATTTTCTCAAAACCAGTGAGTATAAACAATTGAACAGTAGTAAATTGCTGGTGATGTTGGTTTACAGTGGAAAGCATGGATGTTTTATTATGCTCTTATCTGTTGTAATTGTTAGGGGAAATCATGAATGTAATGATCTGTATGCAATTTATTTCTATAACCTTTGTTTCCCTTTTATGGTACGTGCAATAAGATTATACTCACATTTTCTTATTGATAGACTGTAGGTTCACACCCAAATGTTAGAAGCTTGAGATCAGATTATACAGTCTAGGTGAGGTATAGATGTAAAGGGGGAGAGTTTCGAGGGAGGTGGGTGATTTTCTGTATTCTCGCAGAGGAGAAAGAGTTGAGGAAAAGAGAGTTGAGTTGTGAAAGGAGAGTTAAAATAAAATAAAAATTAATTAGTAGGGACATTTTGGTAGTTTACATTATTTCCACAAAATGACAAAAAACCAATTGCCTCATCAACAAAGGCTGATCCAAACGGGTGTATTTGGGCAAAATTCCTCAACTGTAAAATGAGACATTTCTCAAATGGTTCAATGTCATCAATTGCCTCATTTTCTAATTGTCTAATCCAAACTTCCTAAGTTAGTCTGTTAGCCATTATTATAAGTTGAAAATGACCTTATTTTCAAGTTTTCAGCTAACATAATTCTAATATAATGTATGAGTTTATCTAAATTAGGCGTTCACATATCATGCTCTACACTCTAAAAGTACAAATATACAGTATAAGAATAATATTGATTCTTATTTTTTATGAGCCTAAAAGGAAGGAACGTTTGGCTCTTGAGTGGTTATACAAAGCATTAAGTATGTGTATATAATATATTAGATATATGGCTAATTGATTAACTGGTTAATGGTTTGATTGGTTAGAAGAGTCTGAAACCATACCAAACCACCTGAACCAAACACGCTAAAAATGTTAACCAAACCAATTATCCAAAACAGCCAAACCAAATTATCCAAATCTACATGTTAAAACGGTTACCATGGTAACCACCCTGTTTGAACACCCCTAACCAAACCTAGAGAGTTGAATGCTAAAGACCTCTTCGGAGTACTACGAATCGGGATTCCCTAGTAGCGCATCATTAATGACCGTCGCAGGCGTCCGTCACAGGACGATACGACGACCTGACAATATAGACTAACGTATGTATTGCCATTACTAATGTGTGAAGATCACATAATCCATGTACCTCAGTGTCGGCTTGTCACAACATTAATCACCGTCGAAAGCATCTCCCACGAGATTTGACATTCTTAGAGGCGCCTGACGAGTCGTCTAATGACCCAATCATTGGAAGGTTGGGTATAAATATCTCCTAAAAAACATTTAATGGTAACTCAACTATTCCCTCTCTCGCTAAAAACTCATATATCTCTCCTCCCCTTTCACTAACTTAAGCATAAGAGAGCGTCTGAAATCCACGCCTGTAGACGTTTCTTGCAGTAGTCAAAGGATTGTCTTCCATTCAAAGAGTCAATGACGACCTCACGTGCCTCCCACTTGAAACATTCTAGGCTTAAACAGTGTATAAGCATGGTCCATAAAATAATTTTAAAACTGGTATAGGACTAGGTAGTAGTATAATATTTCTATGGTATAACTATGGTTCTCATCACGTACCAGTGTAATATTTATTAAAATGAAATATTATATTCCACTTATATTACATCGGAATAATTTCTTCAAAATCGACTCTTACTCTCAAAATTATAAATTTTTAATTGGGTAAAATCAAGTGGCAGGATGTTTTCACAATGTTCCTTTCAATGTAGGATCGAGTTAGATGATAGTGAGATAGTTCTAAGTTCTAACGATCCGAACTTAAGTAGAAGAAACTGAAATCGCCCATAATTAGCCATCTACAAACCCAGTTGCGGATCGCCTATCAACCCAACACGACGTCGTACCAGGATATAAATTTACGTCTCTCTCCCTGGACACTTGATTCCCTCCTGCTCGTTTTTCCACCTTTTCTACTCACAAGACACAAAGCCATAGCCTTTCTTTTGCTTCCTTCCCCCAATCAATCCGCCACCGCAAACCCTAACCACCACCGCCAGGGGAAAACCTCCGATCACCCTAGCCATGGCGTGGAAGCAAATTCTAACTCTCGCCCGGCGGTCGCACCACCGACCGCGATCTTCGCCCGCCGCTCTATCCGCCATACGATCCTCTTCCTCCTCGGCCCTCGCCGAGTCCCGCGACTCCTCCCTCCCGTCCCCGCCGCCGCCGAACGCCATGATCTATGATCGCCTCGCCGAGTCAGTGAAGTCGAAGATCAAGCAGCTGGAGAATCCGGATCCCAGGTTCCTCAAGTACGGGTCGCCCCACCCGGTTCTGCGGACCCACACCCACATCCTCTCTGCACCGGAAACCCGGGTCACCACCCTCTCCAATGGCCTCCGCGTCGCCACCGAGTCGTCTCTCTCCGCCAAGACCGCGACGGTCGGGGTGTGGATTGATGCCGGGTCCAGATTCGAGACCGACGATACCAATGGCACCGCGCATTTTTTGGAGCATATGATATTCAAGGGGACTGAGAGGAGGTCGGCTAGGGAGCTGGAAGAGGAGATCGAGAACATGGGGGGACATTTGAATGCCTACACTAGCAGGGAGCAGACTACTTATTACGCCAAGGTTATGGATAAAGATGTCAATCAGGCGTTGGATATCTTGTCTGATATATTGCAGAATTCCAAGTTTGAAGAGCACCGGATCGCCAGGGAGCGAGATGTGATTTTGAGAGAAATGGAAGAGGTATTGTAGTTGCTTCTGCTTCGTGTTTCAGTTTTAATCTATCGGTAGATTTTGATATTAAAGGTTCAATTTTTTTTATAGATTAAGCTCTCTGGGCTTTTTTTGGGTATGTAAATGGTTGATGCAACAGTAGATTATTATACGTTATGAGTTAGGAATTGGCTTGCATATACTGGTTAGTGTTTGATTCCTAGCTCTGATTTAGTGGATTTGTCCTTGGTGGTTAAGGGGGTGTTGTGTACGGTTTTGGTGTTCGATTGTCTGAATTTGATAGGTTTGTTTTTAGTTGATGAATCCATTATTGTGCATGTTATTTTAGTAAGAAAGAGGCCTGTCATATGAAGCTGTGACATTTAATTTGCTCCACCGTGGCGTGGTTGGGATTATTTAGGCTCGCTTTTCTTTCCTGGGATCAGACTTATTCTACTTTTGTGTCTCCTGTGTCCGAGCTTTAAAGTTTCTGCTTTGGTGGATTTCTTATAGGTTGAAGGACAGACTGAAGAAGTCATCTTTGACCACTTGCATGCAACTGCTTTCCAGTATACCCCTTTGGGCCGCACCATTCTTGGCCCTGCTCAAAACATCAAAACAATTACCAGGGATCATCTACAGAGCTACATCCAGACACACTACACAGCTCCTAGAATGGTATTAAACATAAAAAAATGCATGTTCTGATTATTTATTGCTTTACTAGAGTCAGCAGTCCCAGAAAGGTGGAAGCTTTGTGCTTTGTTGGAAGAACTGAACTCAATTTTAATATTTCCTTGTCCAGGTAATTGCTGCTTCTGGTGCTGTTAAACACGAAGAAATAGTTGATCAAGTGAAGAAGTTGTTCACCAACTTATCATCTGATCCAACTACTGCTTCACAACTGGTGTCAAAGGAGCCTGCATTTTTCACTGGCTCTGAGGTAGGAAGATACTAGTTGCAAGTCTGCAATCCATCTTCAAGTTGTCAATTTGTCCAATGTTTTGTCATTTTGTCTAATTTTTGTTTGAAAATCAGGTGAGGATAATTGATGATGATCAGCCTTTGGCGCAATTTGCGGTTGCTTTTGAAGGTGCATCATGGACAGATCCAGATTCTATTGCCTTAATGGTCATGCAATCCATGTTAGGTTCATGGAACAAAAGTGCAGGTGGCGGCAAGCACATGGGGTAAGCATCCATATGTTTTGATATTATCAGTGCTGGGTGTGGGAATAGTGTCTTCTGGTCAGATACCTCATCTTTAAAAGCACTATTGCCTGCAATTTTGAGGTGCTGATTTCCATATCTTCTCTAAACATTGTGATTGGACCTTACCATGTTATCATAGCAACCTTCATATCTAAGTAAGTAGTTGTATAAGGTTGTCTTGATCGTTACCACAATGGTGATATACTTCCATGGTTGTGTTTGATCAAATGCTCAATTACATATTTGTTACTTTCAAACAGTTCAGAGCTGGCACAGAGGGTTGGCATTAATGAGCTTGCTGAAAGTGTGATGGCATTCAACACCAACTACAAAGACACTGGCCTGTTTGGTGTTTATGCTGTGGCTAAGGTGAGATTCCTTGTACTCTTTTTCTCATAGTTTCTTGTTTAGACTGTAATTAGACTACTAGGAGGGAAGATGGAAATTTTCTTTGGATTAAAAAAAACCTATGTCACCCTTGTTATAAAAAAGGTTAATTAGGGCTTGGTCAAGTGGTACTACCACTGGTCTTCAACCTGGAGGTCCTAGGTTTGAATCCGTTACTTAACATTAAAAACAAACCTACACCACCCTTATGAAAAATCTGTGTAATATTATATTTAAATAGTGAGATCAGATTTAGGTTTTAAGAGGAAAGATGCAAGTCCCTTCCTGCTCCATTTAATCTCCTTAGGTCACTGTTTGCTTTCTTGAAGAGGACAATGACTGCTAAGATTTTAAACCCACCCAAATATGCAAAAAGTGCAATGTTCTATTATGTAGCAGTACGAATGGTTTAAGGGGTCACTTCTCTCTTTATATCTAGTTTTACTAGATTCATTTAACTTATGTTACTTTTGCAGCCTGAGGATTTGGACGATTTAACCTATGCAATAATGTATGAGATTGCCAAGTTGTCCTTCCGGGTTTCAGAAGATGATGTTGTACGTGCTCGGAATCAGGTACTTACCATTGCTGATGTTCAGATAGACTTGAGCTTACATTGATTGAGATGTTTTCAACCGATGTTAACCTGGATGCTATAGTGTATAATGTCGGATCTAGTTTACCATTGGTAAATGTTTTACCTTTCCGGGTTGAGGACTACGACTTGATTTGTGCCTTTTAATTAGTGGGTTCAAGCAACAAGAGTCTGTGATTTGCTTAGCTAGTATAATATCTTGTTTGATTTCATGTTTATCATGGATGAATAGAGACTAGATAAACTTCGCTTTCCTGATTTGGGCATGGAATACTTGTCTTTTGTGGTTCCAGACACCAAATTCTTCCATCCGTTTGACACCATTTGAACATGCAGAATTTTCAATTCTTCTGCTTTTAGCTATATCTATTTTGCTAGTTTCTTACTACTATATTTGCTTGCAGTTGAAATCATCCTTGCTACTCCATATTGATGGAACTAGTCCTGTGGCGGAAGATATTGGCCGCCAGGTATATCTGTCCTATATACTAAATATGAATCAGGTTACATCAGCATATATTTTGACACTTAGATACTCTAAACCGCATTGTCCATGTGAAGGATACATCTACAAAAGGGTGTAAAATAATGTAGTGGCTCATAATTCAGAATTAGAATCACTCTGCTAGTCACCAAGCTTAACAAGGTTCCCACTGGATGAAAATGATCCAATCTGGGTTAGAATTTTTCAATAATAAATTTTTTGGCATGTGGCAGTACATTCAACTGTGATCTGTAGTTTTAATGATGCTCTAGGTGACCTTGGTTCTTCAATTTCTAATGTGTATGCATTTTGTATATCGATTTCCACTATTGGCTTTTCTACTTCTAGAATTTGGCTATTTTCTATCATGAGTTTTCCTATTGCAAATATAACTTCGTTATTGCTTTAGTCGGTGATCACTGATTCAAGCCTTCATGATTTCTATTGTTGCAGCTACTTACTTACGGGCGCAGGATCCCGTTTGCTGAGCTATTTGCGAGAATCGATGCTGTTGATGCCAGCACCATTAAACGTGTGGCAAACCGATTCATTTATGACAAGGTATGAACTAATGTTGACCGTTATTTGTGATACGTTCTTAGTTTAACTGTTGAAACGGAATACGAACCCATTGCAATGGATTTTCAACTGTTGGTTCTTGTATCGACACAGGACGTTGCAATTGCTGCCATGGGTCCCATTCAAGGCTTGCGCGACTACAACTGGTTCAGACGTAGAACCTACTTCCTCCGCTACTAAATTTATTGTGGCAGCATTTTTTGTGTTTCTCAACCACCGCGAGGCTACAAAATCTGAACTATTTTTCCAGACAAGCAGTATTGGCTCATGGAATGTCCTTGGAGCTTGCCTCGTTTAATTTGTTATTTTCCAGGCTTTCATTCTCCTTGTGCCTTTTGTAAACCAATTCTACAGCAATAAAATTGTTTTAGGCTCGAGATAGTCTGGCTGTGATGAGCATTGTTAGTCACAAGCGATTTTGCTTATAAATTGTTGCAGTACACCAAATCTGCATTTCCTGCTTGTATAAAGCTGAAACCAAGCGGCTACTTTTACATCCTCGTTCTTCACTAGAAGAGGGCCACAAAAAGCCTTTTGGATCTAATAATCACTTGTTGAAATCTATGAATGGGTTCTTATAATAGTCACAATTGTTACTTTGTCTAGGTTTCGCTTGGGTCTTGAATGTTCTGTGCGTTAATATCTCGGTTTGTTAGAAAATTTAACGAGTCCTTTGCATGAAGTTCGCCATGTAGTGTGATCAACATATCAAGATCAAAGGGATACCATAAGTTTCATTCCATCACTGTAATTCAAATCCATGGAAGTTTCTGTATAATTTGGCTGATCATATTCCATTGATATGCATCCAAACTGCGAAACGTGTTAAGCTCCATCAAATTCTATATGACCTCTTTGGAGACACTAGCAAAGTTTATAGTGCTGCAGGCCAAGTTGTTCAGGATAATCAAACTGCTATTCAAAATTCAATAAAAAGGGTAACAAAGAAAACAGGCTACAACCAAAAATTAGACCTCACGCAGCCAAATGGTTGAGGCTTCAGTCATTACATAACAGTGATTGATTGTGCACACTGGGAAGAAGAAATAACTGCTTCCCCTCTGACAAAAAGAATGTACAGAAAGCCAAAAATATTTGTACATACTCTCATGGTCAGCTACTCTAAGTTAAGTTACATCTACTTCTCCAGCTGGTTACTCGGCGGACTCTGACTCTTCTTGATCCTCCAACTGAGCAGCTTCTTCTTTGTTTACTTCTCCGCCGTCGCTCTCGTTACTCCGTTCGAAGAACATGCCAAAAGATGACGATACATCACCATTGTCATTGTCAGCCTCGTCATCCTCATCAATTTCCTTTTCCTTCAGTCTCGAGCTCGTCTCATTATCATCATTCATCCACTTTGGGCAACGTTCCTTGACACCCAAGGTGGCGGCAGCAGCAGACTGAGTGCGTGAAGCTAGGGTTGAAGAAGGGCTTGATGCATCATGGGATACAGTCCATGCTTCTTCGATATTGCCACTTCCAACGCAAGAACACTCAGGGACAGGATGCGAGAGGAATGACAAAGGTTTCGAGGCTACTGACGCATTCATAGCACCATGGAACAAGCTCTTCCTGAAATGCTGGCGAACAGATTTCAGCCACGTGTTGTTTGCTTCGTACAGGTGCTCACGATTCCCTTCCAGAAGCCTCACAACCTCCTTCCTGTAGTTCTCATGAAATGGAAGCGTGTGGACAGAAGATAAATGATCAAATGAATAGAGTATGAAAGATATAGGTTCTATTTAAGCTATAAAAAGAAGTGACTTAAAAGCTGAAACAAACTTCTTTATTCAAACTTCTTAACATTTTTCCTTTGTTTCAACTAGAACTAAGAGTTTACTTCTTTACCAAGATCGACCATGTTGGGTCATTTACCTGACTGGACGGAAGGTTTTGGAGGCTGCCGAAAGGTACAGCCTGTGGCCCATGACCAAGCTGGCAAAGTTCGGACGCCCTTTCCCATCACGATCAAATACAGAGATAAAGACATCGGCTTCAACCGAAACCAAGTAGTCTATTGCCTCCCATAGTAGTTTATGTGCATTGGTCCTCAACTCCATAACCGAACTCTCTGGTTCATTGTCGCTCTCAGCCACCCATCCCCACCAACCTTCGATGTTATGTGGGTATTTAGGACGGGCAGGAGGGGGTGGAAGAGGACGAGGACGTGGGCCTGCATTTCTCCAAGCCTCGGCCTTCTTTACTTGCACAATAGAAGGCGGTGTCCTCGGAAATTGGCTATCAAGGTTGACCTCTCGCCCATAAATCCTAGTTAGCTCCGATGATGCGGTCAGTGAAGTCCTGTCCACCACGTTTTCAAACATTGCATGGAGAGGAGTCAGTGTCCTTTGGCCGCCAAATACTTCCCCTCCTGACACGTAGATAATGGTGTCCCATGGATATCCATATGCACGAAGAAGAATACCGACCTGCAGAAAAATGAATTAGTCAGATTCCTGCTTGTCATTTCCTTGTAATTCATTGACTAGTGAATGCCGAAAGCCTCGAACCTCTTCAGGCATCAATGGGCATGAACCATTAAGGCGTCGTTCCTCGGAGTTAACCGAAAGTTTCCCCTTAAAAATTCCACGTCTTCTCATCCATGCTCGCTTGTGTTGAATGAGTTCACTGTGCACATCCTTGGATAGAGTTCCAAGACAAAAGCAGATTCAAGGTAAGCACTTCTTTCTATATTAAGGTCCGAGTTCAACAGATGAGTGATGTTGTATTTTCAAGGTACCTGGAAGAGTTCAGCACAACCATAGTATGCCAAAGCTTCTCTTGTCATCCCAGGATCATAAGCAATAAATGGTCTCCCAGGAGCTCGCAATCTTTATTGACCAAGGGTATCAAAAGAACATATTTTAATTCGTCTATATGTGTGCCTATAGAACAATATCATAAAACACGCACCAAATTGTGATGAATAATATGTCATAAATCCTGTACCGACCTGTGCACAATTTTAGTTGCAAGCTCCTGAACCTCCTGTCGGAACACCAAGGCGTGGAAAGCTACTCGACATCTCAGCCTCTGATATTCTTCAAGATGGGGAGGAAGGATAGCCTATGAAAAGAAAACAAAACTAGATTCAGCTAAAAGCACTACTTCAAATAAAAAAATGAGCAAAATTAATATTAATATAGACCTAACAGCAGGACACTGACCTGCAAGCATCCACCATCAGATACAACAAGTTCAGCCACTGAATGCTTATTAAGCACTGGGAGAACATGGTGCAAGTAGTAATATGGAGAAGCAGATCGAGGCACTCTGAATGACGGGATCTCCTTCTTCCTCCTGGCATTTTTTAGACTCTTGGGAAGGGTTTTTACAACTTTCACGTCTTTTACCAATGCTGCCGTGAACTGGTCCTCGTTGTATACGTACGCAAAACTCTTGAACTCTGAGCTGAAACAAAGATTATATGTAAGTTAATCTGAGTCCTAACCATCAACAAGGTCAACTTTCACAACTCTTACTAACAGTTGGAAATCAACTCACCTAATCCCTTTACTGCTCGTGGTTGACTGAATCTCCGGAATAACTAACGTTGCATTCAAAATCCGAGCAACGACAACTACATCCGATATCTAAAAACAAACCACATTATGTTAGATATCTCATAAACGACTGTAGAAAATGAGATTTAGAAGATACACATGAAGCAGTATTATCCTCACCGAGCTCCTGATGTCATGGAAACCACCTTGTATCCTCACGAAGATATACCCACTTGATTCTGATCTGGGACCTTTTGTACACACATTTACCGTAGGAATCAAAATCTCAATTTGACAAGTAATGAAACAGACAAGTTAAAAGTAAAAATGCACAAACTTCACAGGGAAACAACTAGAACTGCCCATCAAGGAAACACGATTCAAATCCAAAATTCAAATTCAGATCATTCTTCAACTACAACATTTGCAATTGTGATCAGAACTTGAACACAGGCAATGCCATTGCAGTGGACCATTGAGTAAATCCTAATTTTCCAACAAAGCAAAATAAACATGCTGATTTAATGCTGATCGAAAGCGAAAGCAAACCTGAATATGGTCCTCTTGGATTGGCAAAGGGATGCAAAGATTCAAGCTTTCTGACTGGACCCCAGAGCCTTCTGTAAGCTGGGCCCTGCACCGTTACAGAGAAAACCATAAAGCAAGCCCTTTTCGTTATCCAAGCTAACTAATAATCACTGATCCCAAAAACATCACTCATCACTCCACCAAAAAGTCAGCAGAAAGCAGATCTAAGAAGTGAATTACAGTTCTGAGGAACAGGGGAAGCTCAAAAACAGGGCGCCAAGAGAAAATGGTGATGGAAGAAGAGGACTGGTAGTAGTAATCGGAGACGCCTGGGTCGGAGAATCTGGCGAGAGTGAAATGGAGAAAGAGAGAGAGAGCTGAGAGTATGAGTCCAAACAATCCAACCCATTTGAGCTTGGACTTCATTACCACCACCTTACTGTAGCTGTTCACTTCTCCCTTCATCCCCGCCACCCGCCACCCGCCAAAGACCAGAACTTTCCTCGAGTTGGTCGGTTTTTCTTTCCCCCGGGAACCGGGAAGGAAAAAAGAGGAAGAAGGGCGGAGGGGGAAATAGAAGTCAAGAAGGAAGGGTAATAATTTTGCTGCAGTCTCGGCTCGTGTAGTGTTGGGTTTCTAGTGAGAGAACGAAAGATCAGACATGCTATTGTCATCAAGATTCTGCAGCCTTCCGTTCCACTCACTCTCACCTTTCTCCTGCGTTTCCACCACGCTCCTAGTTGGGGTAAATTATACCGGAGGTCATTTAAGTAGTCAGTTATTCCATTTTGCACCCGTAATAAATAAAAGTAATTTAGTTCACTGAAAATTGGGTGTAAGCTCAAAAAGGACAAAATGAGTCCTCATCAAATATTGTAAAACCATATCAGAAGTTGTATCAGAAAATCAACCGTAGAATATTTTATATTGAAAATGTAGTTTAACCATAGTTCAACTTTTTCTTACCGTTATGTATCGCCTACCAGTTTAGCATCTAGTAGGAGATTTTTCGTATCAAACCGACGGTAAGATACGATTTTTCAATCCTTTTTTATGACACCTCCCTGACTCCCTCTTGCCTCTTTTTAGGCTCGTGATCTCAAAGTATAGGCTTAGCCGTCGTGAACTTTGAGTGCACTTAGTTGTTGCAATAAAGATGGCGAGATCGATAGAAACACTGTCAAGAACCAACAATGATGCACTATCAATTCGTTTGTGATCGAGTTGAGAACAACTTTATCCCCGTTCAACATGTTGTCTCCTCCGCTCAACTGGCAGATTTTCTCACCGACAAAACATGCCACCAGCAAAGACCCACTATCACTTTGTTTTGCATCCAATTGAGAAGAATTTTCTTCCGGTTCGAAATGTGTGTATTTGCTATCTTGTGGAGCCTATTAGAGATAACTTTCCCCATATACTATTCACTATATAGGGTTTGTGACTGTTGAAACGCGGCAAACATGCAACCTAATCAAAAAGCATTGACTAATTCAAGGTTGAAGCTTCCTGTGAAGGGCAAAAAGTCACTCGGCTTAGTCAGTTTAACTGTTGAGTAGCCTAAAGGAAGTTTCTGAACAATTACAAAGACACCCACATAAAGCAATTAAGGTGCCGCCACGAAGCCAGTCTCTAGTAACTTTCAACTTTCCAAGTCCTTTTGTTTTCTGTGCCTTTTCTTGTCAAAGAGGTCACCCGCGCATGGAGCAGACAGATGCCAACAAAAGTCCAAGGTCCCCTCCACTACGACCTTGGCGAGCAAGTAACTTGATCGATATATAAACACCAACTCACCATAGCCTATACATTCACCAAGCCAGTTTCAACATATAATCTAACTAGCAAGCAATCGAGAGAGATCGATATTCACACGACGCATCAGAAGCAAGAATTTGCAGCAGTAGTCAGTACTACTACAAGTGATGAGTCCAAATTCACTGATCAACCTGGTTTCTACTAGCTTTAAAATTGAAAGCAGCACCATGGGGAAGGGAGGGATTAGTTGGAAGTGGCCCAAGGCTGCAGCAGCCATTCTACGGATGTTGGTGATATGGGCTAAGAAACCTGCTGCAGTAGCTGGGGATGCCGACGTAGCAGAGGAAGTTTACAAGTACTCGAGCAAGGCAACGACTGGCCGATCTATCAGGCCAGAGGCAGAAATGGCGGCAGCAGCTAAACATTTCTCCTCTGCCCATAAAATTCGGTTTGGCGGTTGATCAAACCAACCTTACTACAGTATGTGTAACTATATGGAATGGAAATGTCAAGCATGTTAGTATTCATACATGACACACCTATCTAATCTCAGAAGCAAATCGAGAAAGTTTTGCCAATTTGTGTCTGGGCAGTGCCTATTGATAAATTCTCATCATTTAGAATCATTTCATTACAACTGGCTCCGGAGACTGATTGATGTACGTTCATTATTGAATTTGTTTAATCTTCACTAAAGCTGACAAGAGGTAGTAGCAAGTATTCACCAGACCATAACCCTTCCATCCAACACGACTCCTGACTCAAAACGATCAACCCAACCTCTCTCCAATTGTGGGCATCTTGCTTATGGAGAAAGTAAACCATCGAGTCGTTGTTCTTGCAGTATAGACATGAAAAGCAAGCAACGGGAAACTGTTCATCTATGATGATTATGATCAGTACTGATAGTGAGGCGAGATCTACAAATGAAAAAGCTAGAAACAAACCGGAACAGCAGTATCCTGAGAAATGCATGCACAACATGACTCAACCATTGGGTCGCCTAATGTTGTAAGGATAATGTAAGCATCAAATTGTCTAGAAGAACGATATACGTGAAACCTAGATAGCTATCGTTGAAAAGAGATGGATACCGAAAAACCTGGCATAGAATACAGAGAAGTCCAACCGAAAGCCACTAATCGCAAGAAACTAAAAGCACGAAAGTAAACCATTGAAGGCATCATTCAGAGTGTAGAAACTCAGGGCATAGCAAAGGCAACAAATAAAGTAATGATCATAATAACCTTAATATATACTATAATTCTGTCTACAGTTTGGCTCTGCGCATCAACGTTCGTCCATGTAAAGCAAAACAGTTTCCCACTACCACAGAACTCATCAATGTACAGAGCACTTAACTGTGCTTAATCATACACAAAAAAGATGTCACCCTTTGCAGCTCACACAGAAAAATGTCATCAGTATCATGTTTTTGCTTAAATTAATCTGCATCTAGGGTTACACCAAAAGTGGCCCGTGCCAACGTTGATTCAATCACTAGGTGTGTTGCACTGCAGTATATAAAGTTCGATCACAAACAAAGACAATCTTTTAAAAATCACAATGACCGATTCAATGAGTACAACTGCAGATAAAAAATTCCCACCTCAATAGATTGAAGCATCAAATCTAGGCTCATAAAAGCACACCTGGCTGTTATATGACTGAAGAGCACATCCAGCAATCCACGACCAAACCTTCTTATCCACATCATACAACAGACTCTTCCCTTGGTTCCATGATGTGAAACAAATCAAATTATCCTGACCGAAGCACTCAAATCTCTCAGCTGATAACCTTAGCAGTGCCCTGAAATACTTTGGTGGCATTCTACTAATCTCTACCCACGTGTTTTTGGTGTGATCCAACTCCCAAATTCTCATACTCTGAAGAGTGCTATAAAGGCCGATTCTTCCAACCAAAAACAATCGCTGTTGAGTGCCAGCCACTAAGTATCCATCCAACAGAGAGCGTGGAAACTTAGCAGGAATATGCTCCCAATAACCTGTGTCAAGACTATACATCATCAAACCGAGAGGAGAAAGAGTCTCGAGATACAATCTAGAGTCACAATATGCCATCTTTGAAGAGCATAGATTAATTGTAGGCATTATCTGGTGAACCAACCATCTATCCATCTTTGAATCATAAACTTCAGTTGGCAAAGATTTATCACCATAGATATCACTGGTAGCTATAACTTTGAAGGACCTATCTGAACGATCCACAACCAATATCAACTGCCTTTGGTGATTATAATGCATGCTAGGCAGGGTCCTCCAGGTTTGTGTCAGTGGATTACAGACCAGAGTTTTGAAAGCTAACCCATCCAGCCCTGAGAAGCAAACGAGCCCACCAGAAGAACCAACCAACCAAAATGCCCACTGCGGCAGAAATGTGAACGGAACTCGATACCAGGTTTTCAAAGGCAGACTGAAAACAGAACACTGTGGAGTCTGAGAGTTCTTCCAAAATGTCAGAAGACAAGGACCGTGAGAAGGCACCTGGGAGTGGAATTTAAGAAAGCTATTGTCTTGAAGAATTGAATTCCAACGTTTGCAAACCGAACGAAGGCGAAAGATCATGAATGGGGGAACTCTAGCTAGAATCTCATTCAAAAGATCCTCAGGCAACATTGCCCATATGTTGTCCTCCATCTGAACATCACAATGAACAGATTTCCCAAATGTAGAAGCCGTCTCTTCATCCAAACCGCGAGGTTTGGTCTTCACTACTTTTTGCCTTGAAGGGCTCGTATTCCTTGGCCCTACACGACCCATGGGGCTAGTATTCCTCGACTCACATATCCTAATCGGTGAAACTTGCCTGGGGCAAAAACCTTCATCACGATACTCATAGGTTATTACCGATCTAGGACTAGCCATTGCAGACACAGATTCAGACGACCCTCCTCCGATCTCATCCATGTCTAGTGATAGAAACAACAACCCTAATCCAGCCAGCTTCCAAGTTCGTGTCTTTCGACTTTTAATTCTCAATCTCAGATAAAACCTTGATTCTTCTTAGGCAAATGCATCAGAAACATCGAATACTTTACATATACAAAACGATGCTAACAGCGATCGCTTAACTAACAACAGAAACCCATTACCCCATTCGACCACACAAACTGAAGCAAATTCAACACCTAGCAAAGAAAGTTGGCAATTCCATTTGGCTACCACACGTACCGTGATAAGGAAAGCCCAGAACTGAAAGAGCAATCTTTGGAGCAGATGAAGAGAGAAGAAATTGTGGGCAGGGAAAGAGATTGGGAATGGGAACTGGAAAATGGAAACCAAGGTCTGTTGAGGGGAAGAGGAAATGGGTTGTGTTTACCCTTGGAATTCGAAGGAGTTATCCTGTTTTGTGGCAGGACTTGGGAACAGCTTGACGGAACTACAGGCGAGTGAAATTGCTTCTGGAAAAGATGAAATAAACAAATGGCCAGCGAAAGTAATTAAACTCACCCTAACCTCCCCGCCCCTCCATCTAAATCTCTCTCTCAACGATAACTTCTTCTTTTTTTATGACAACGATAACTTTTTTTTTTTAATGAAATTAGGTGTGTTTGTTATTTTTCAAACCATTTTCCAACTAAAGGTCAAATTTTGCCAAAAGAAAATATGTTTGATGACGTCCTTTAAACTTCCTATTATCGAAAATTTTGTTTGGAAAATTACTCTAAACATCATTGTATTTGCTGCTTATAGGCAACATTTTCACAATGATGGATTTTGGAGGTGGAACAATGATTATAACTCAGTTTATGAAGTTTTACATGACCTCAATTTGAAGTGAAAAATAAGTATATATTGGGTATTATAAATGAATTTTAGTATAACAGTTTAGCTTATCTAATAGAGATATCAAATTCATTTGGTTTATATTATAGTGCTTTTATAACAATTTAGCTTATCGTCTCACTTATGTCGATAAAAAAAGTGACTTTGTAGTGATATCATCAACCCAACTAAGTTCATATTTTACCATTAGGTTGTCATACTATTACTAATCCAGATGCATGTTTTTTAGATAAGTCGACAAAAAAAGTGACTTTGTAGTGATATCATCAACCCAACTAAGTTCATATTTTACCATTAGGTTGTCATACTATTACTAATCCAAATGCATGTTTTTTTAGATAAGGGTGATATAGGTTACTTTTTTGTTATTAAATACTACCGAAGAGACTCGAACTTGAGACCTTCAAATTCATAACTAGTGGTATTACCACTAGACCAATCCCTTGTTCATCCATATCCATATGCATGTTTACCATATCTTTTGTACAAAGTTGTTAGAGTCTTTATCCATGGCCAATGTTAAGAGTTACATACTCGTGCTAAGAGATCATCACCATTCTTTCTATTCTCCTCCCTTCTACTTCAACATCAATAATATTATATTTTATTTTGTGGTTAGTCTTGCCTTTAAAAGCATCATAAAAAGTTATTCGAGTTCGTCAAATTATTATTTGAACCAAGATTAAGATGATGTATAAATATGGGATATTCACTATTATCAACTATCAACTATCATTTTTTCATTAAATCAGTTTCCTCATTATTAATCTTTAGAGAAGACGTGGTGATAAAACACAACACCTGATACAACGAAGCAGAGAGCCCCTAATTGGTTCTCTCTAGTAATACAATCCCGTAAAAAAAATCACAACTGTCTGCTACTATCTGCTACCATTTATACCACAGTCCCTCTACACAAGACCTATACTACTGTAATCACTCAAAAGAGTAGGAAATGCACCCACAACAAATTGTAACTCACGTAACCATAGATTGCACACCACTTCACCAACTCGTGGTTGTTCCCCATGGCTTCTTCAACCTCTCTCCTGCCAAATAAAATATGACAAAGAACACCAAATTAACACTATCACACATGATACGCCCCCACGCACTATTCCTAGCAGCTATAGACACTGCTTCCTCAACCCGCGAGTCCCAAGGGCCACTTCCAACCTGCAATCCCACTTTCGTCAACAAGCCTTTGGAAAAACTGCACTCAAAGAACAGATGTTCCCTCATCTCACTGCCAACACCACACAAGTTGCAAACATCATCATGCACTCGCCCCCATTTCAGCATTTTTGCCTTCGTAACCATTGCATCCGGCATGATGATCCAAGAGATAAAACTCCATCTAGGCACATGATGCTTTCCCCAAAGAAGTTTGGACCAGTTTACTCTAGTATTAACAGGTCGCAGGATTTTTCAGACCTCACGAACAGAGTATAGCACCATCCTTTTACCTTGCCAAGTCCCAACCCCACCCTGCAATCCCATTAAAGGCTGGAATTGAGGACGAAGTTTCAATATTCTGCGCCAAGCCCAAAAACTAGATGCAGTAATCATCATACACCAAAGATCTGTTCCTCTGCACCTGTAAGCAAGCATCCAAACCACCCATAGGCTCCTGAGCGCATCATGATGAGCCAGAGCATCCTTGCAGTGCATGCTCTGTTCCATGTAAACAAGTCACGTATGCCCATACCACCCTCCTTCTTAGGTCTAGCAATCCTCTCCCATGCCTACTTTGGCCTTCTAGATTCCTCTCCATGCCACAGGAAGTCCGAACAGATCTTCTGCAATTTTCGAAGAATTTTTTTAGGAAACAGGAACAACTGGAGCCAATATTGAATCACCCCCATTAAGACTGAGGGAACTAACTGTATTCTCCCTACATAAGTCAGTTTCTTTGCACGCCATGATCGTATTTTCTTGGTTAACTTTTCAAGCAACACCTCACAATATGAATCCTACAACTTTCCAGAGAGCAAGGGGAGTCTCAGATACCTAACAGGCAAGGAACCCTCCTTAAAGCCAGATACAGTTAGAGCAGCTACCTTATATGAATCCATCTCCAACCAAACCGACCTAAATATTAGCAAAATTTATATGTATTTCATATTCTCGTGGATGGTTTCGGTACCAAGGATCATTGATCACTAATCAGTTTGTTGAAAGGGTGAGATCCAACCTATCCAACCCCATGTACACATCCGTGACCTAGCTTTGAGTGTACACTATAACTTTGACCAAAGTTGAAGATAAAATATTCTGGTGATGAGACATTGAGGCTTCTAGCTCTTAATATTATGTGGTTACACCATGAATGTTTGTGCGCGGAATTTTTCGCCCATTCATAGATCAAAAAATCCTGGGGATATTTTCATTCTTTGTCCATTTTTTCCAGTATTTTCTATACCATAGAAATTAGGAATAGGGAATCCCTATGAAGGGAGCTATAACTGTTGGAATAAAGGTATCCGTTGTTATGGAATTAGGTTCATTGCGGTTAGTAAAATTGATAAATTAGGCGAATATGAAGATGCAGAAAGAGAGGGATTCGAACCCTCGGTAAACAAAAGCCTACATAGCAGTTCCAATGCTACGCCTTGAACCACTCGGTCACCTCTTCTACGTAATGATTATGTCCCAGAAACCGAGTGAATCACGAGTAATTCATATCAAATTGTGGGATGAGTATGGTATGTAACACACTTGAAGGTGTGTTTTTGTTGCCAATTTATTTGTTATATGGTCACTTCCTTGTAAAACAAACCCTAGTATTTGTACTATCAAGAAATTTTTTATGAGGTCTCATTAACTGTTATCAACTCTTCCAAACTTATACCATCTCTACAACTGAAAAATTATACCTAATATAACGATTTACAAACATACGTTCTCTCTTACTAGCTTACTACACTGGTTGGTCAACACCACAAATACCTTGCTTAGATATTAACTTGCATCCCCATATTGATTAGTAAAAATCTCAAAGTAAACATTCATTAGGAAAGTATTTGGAGAGAGCAATTAGTAAGAAACTAAGAATCCCAAAACAAAATAGTAATGATGTAGAAGAACAAATTGCGCCCCTTTACGATGGACCTGATCCCGGTTTGTAATTATAGCCAGCCACGGCCCACGGGCCCTTTGCCAGCGAAAGCCCACGGGCGAGGAAGTGACTGAAATGATTTCCCCGTTTTAATTAATTAATTAAATTTTCACCTTTTATTATATTTCCACTCCATAAACATTCGCCAATCGTCGCCAGTCAGTCCTCCCTGTCGCCGTCGCTCCTTGGTCGGATATCTCATAGCGCCCCCTTTTGTTTTCGTCTCTTCTGTTTCAGTCCTTTCCAGTCTCCACTTCTTCAATTCTCCCTTTCGCCAAAACGCCGCCCAGATGGCGAGATAACGAATCGTCCCCGCCACAAGAATACTGCACTGATCGCCGTCTCTTTCAGGTATGCATCGCCGGCTCCCTTTCAGCTTTTTTTTAGAGACCCACTTGTCATTTACCACTTCTGGTTTCTGGGTTTCCATTAGTTTTTACAGAGATTGACCCATCATCAATATGATTCCTGATTTGGGTGTTTACTTTTCCACCCAACCGTCTGGGTCATCATTATGAAAATTGGAAACCCACTTGAACTAGGATTCTAGGTTGCCCTCCCTGAAAGCCTCTCTCCCTCTTTTTCTACTAGAGGTAATCGCCACTTGAATTGGTAGATGTAGATCTTCAGAGCTGTGGCGATCATCCCAAGAAGAAGAAGAAGAGTTTAAGCTCTCGCTTTGATCTAATCATCTTCTTGGGGTTGATGACAGGAGGATACTCGAGCAGTTCCTTTCTTCTTCAGAATCCAGTCCCAAGATGTGGTTACTGAGCAGCCGTAGCTCAACAAAGAATGGTATCTAAAGGGGACTTGATTGCTATTGGAGTCTCTGTAGGGTTGGGGCTTGGTGTAGTCATAGCAGTGCTTCTGTTCATCTTTGTGAGGTGGCAGAAGAAGCGGGCTGACCTTCACGGCCGAAGTTTAGCAGCCAGTGAGCAGCGGAGTCCGACTTCGTCTGCACCCATACGAGTCAATGGCGTGGACGCATCGACTGATTTCAGCGCCTCGATAACAATACGCGAGCCTCAGCTCGCTCACAAGGTTCCTAGCCCTCATTCATCTTGGTGGGGTCGGCCCAGCAAAGACCATTTCGTCTCGGCTTCTGGGGTGATTGGATACTCTTACAAGTGAGTGTCTCTCATGAAGTCTTATCCCTCTCTCAGCAGCAGGAGATGGAGAATGCCGTGATTTCGATGATGAGTGTTGTTTTCGTTGCAGGGATATCCAGAAAGCAACACAGAATTTCACGACAACAGTGGGGCAGGGTTCATTCGGGGTGGTGTATAAGGCGGTCCTGAATTCCGGAGACACTTATGCTGTGAAAGTCCTTGCCTCGGATTCCAGGCAGGGGGGGAAGGAGTTCCAGACAGAGGTAGCGAACGTGCTTGATTCGGTGCATTTGTAAATGTGCTCATCATTTTCATCGATATCAATCTCCCAAACAAGACCTACTAAATCGAACTCGTAAAGTAGAAATCTCAAGACATCAATTTACCTCGTACTTCAGAAAATCTTGTGCTTAGCCGTGAGTTATTGAGCTTGGTTATTTTGCTTGCAGGTTTGTCTTCTTGGGAGGCTGCATCACCGGAATCTAGTGAATCTGATTGGATACTGTGTAGATAGGGGGCAACGAATGCTGATCTATGAGTTCATGAGCAATGGCAGCCTGGCAAACCTTTTATACAGTAAGGGCAAGCTATGCTTCAAATAGAAACCCATAAACACAGGGTTAAAGCTTCAAGTCAGATTCTCGCACTCGTTACACTGTTGTTCACTTGACTTAACTGCTTTGCAGATAATGATGCAATCATTCTGAGCTGGGAAGACAGGGTCCAAATCGCTCTGGATATTTCACATGGCATTGAGTATCTTCATGAAGGGGTAAGCTTCATCATCTTTCTATAGTTCAATGAAGGAACTTGTGGTTTCGTTGATCCCTTTTGAAAACTTGTGGTCTCATTGATCCCTCCTTTCAACACAGGCTGTTCCACCTGTTATACATCGCGATTTGAAGTCTGCTAACATATTGTTGGACCTATCAATGAGAGCTAAGGTAAGCAAAGTCCTCTAAAACCTAAGTTTCGATGATTAAGAAAGTGGCTAGTCACTATGGCTTGTATAGTTGTATTTATTACTCATTTATGTCTGCCTATTGCTATGTACTTATGAATTTTAGGTGGCTGATTTCGGTCTGTCCAAGGAAGATGCATTTGACGAACAGAACTCCGGCCTCAAGGGAACTTATGGCTACATAGACCCAGTGTATATAGCAACAAACAGGTTCACTACGAAGAGCGACATCTACAGTTTTGGTGTTATCATCTTTGAACTTATTACTGGCATCCATCCCCATCAGAACCTCATGGAATACATCAATCTTGTAAGTCCTGCAAAAAGCTTTGTTCTGGTTTCCCCTACAGCTATATGGCCATGGCTAACACCCTAATTCTATGCCGTTTCTATTTTCTTGTCTCCCAAGGCTGCAATGAGTTCAGATGGGGTCGATGAAATAATCGACGAGAAACTTGCGGGTAAATGCGAGATTCAAGAGGTGAGGGAGCTAGCAAAAATTGGTCACAGATGCTTGCATAAATTCCAAAGAAAGCGGCCAACAATAGGTGAAGTTTCACAGGGTATATTGAAGATAAAACAGCGTCGCCATGTCAGGCAAGATACCATGTCCTCACAAGCAAGTTTCTCGAGAGTTCTAAGCAGGATACAGAGTCAACATATAGAATTGAGTAGAATAGCCAGCATGAAAGAGGGTGATCCATAGTCTTAACTTTTTCCTAGATTTTTTTTTTTTTTTTGTGGCTTTCCTTCTCTTCTCCCACTTCTTTTCTGGTTTTCCCAAAATTTTGTGCTATTTCAAGGTCTCCACTTATTTACTTCATAACTGAGGCCAGACAGAGTATATACTATACCCTCTACTCATTTTTGCTAACTCATTGAAAGTTTCATCGTGTTCAAATTTAAGAATACAAAATGTCTAGATCAGTACTATGACTTGATTTCCTTTCTTTTACCCCTACAATTTGTTGGTTGCTGGGATATTATCACATCCAATAAACAGGTTCATAAGATCGTCGTTACTTGTTCATCAAGGATCACGACATCTCTTTAGGGGATTTCTCTAACACAACGATCAATATTGATTATCTTTCTGTAACCAAATTGGCCTACTTCATTGCTACTCTTAAACAAAAACACATGGCAAGGCATCAAAGAAATTCAATAATGGTATGCTCCAAAAGAGCAGAACACAACGAACATTGCAGTTCCTGTGTTTTTCCATTTATCACTACAATCAGTAACATCTTAGCTGCTGCAAATTAATCGTCCCTTACAAGGATTATTTACTCATTTGCAGCAGAAGAGAACATCAGGAACCTTTCTATACATTATGTCTTATTAGTTCCTGTGTTTTCCACTTTTATTACAATCAAATGCCTAGAATAGCAGATTTTTTGCAGTCTAAGCAAAAAGTAGAGCCAGAGAGTGGGGAAATAGTAAAAAAAGGGGGGAAGAAAAAAAGAAGGTAAAAAATGCATATTTGATATTACACAGAGAGGAACAAAAAAGTAGTTCTCACCTCAGCAGCTTGTGATATACTTCCAGCTGAAAGGGTTGGAGATACTGGCAAGCTGCATATTCCGAAGCTGGGTCAAAACTGGCACGAGGTTCCTAACCGCTGTCTTGGGTTTCTCTGACCTTGCTTTCCTGCTGATTCACGGTTTTCAAAAGCAGGGTACAGCAACTTCTGGAAAATGTCGAGAAACTGTGTCCACTCCCCTTCACTCAGCTCAGAAATCTTCACAAAGCTGCAGCTCAAAGGAAGCTGTTCATTCACACTCCTGTTCCCAGACGATACCCCAGCCATACACCCGAGTTTCTCCATTGCAATCTCGCGCCTCCAGCTCTTCTCACCTAAACTCATGTTCTTTAACAACATTGACCTTTTAGCCAAGGTCGTAGTCATAACTGCGATTTCACCAACATCAGGGTCAGTACTAATATCTACAACTGCAGTAGTAGTTAGCCCATCCTCCTCTTCCTCTTCAAGACTCTCCTCTAGCTTGGAAAGTAGGTTCCGGACGTTCCTGCACCCAAATGAAACTGTTCTTAACGGTGGCCCATATAGTTCGGCCTCACAGTCAATGTCAAACTGGAACTCCTCGTTACTATCTCCTCCTTTCTTCACGTCAGAAGAAGGGGATGATGATCTTGACTCCTCTACTCGACTTCTTGCCTCCATGCATATGAGCTCAAACTCACTAGGTTCCTCTTCTGGACCGCAGAACTCCCTACTCATCATTTCTCCAATCTCTCCCAAGCACAGACCGAAACCTGCGGCTTGCTTCAGGAAAATTGTGCAAACGACTAGAATCCTGAGGCACGCCTCTCTAATCATCGGCAGTTCCCTCCTCAACATGTCAGCATCTCGACAAGGCTCGAGACTGTTTATGTACTCGAGCTCGTCATCGGAGAATGGTAATGAAGCTTGTGGCCAGTTTATCCACTCGAAATATGGGTTCTCCAAGTCTTCTGGAAGGCATAGTCCATGATCAATGGGGATAAGGTCGACTTGTCCAAACCTTCCAATCCCATCCAGCTTCCTAACCAGAAGATTCCCTGCATGCCTGTCGGTATTCAAGATTCTCACGTCTAAGATTCCTATCCTATGCACAGCAGCAACCGGGAAACTCGAAGTCCCATGGTCACTGGCATCAAAATCATGATGTATGTACTTCTGAAGCGATGCAATCTTGCTAACCTGCTTCTTTGGGTGTTGATGCTGCTTGCCCTGATTCATTCCATCGTTGATGTTGAAAATGGAATGCGTCACCTTTACAAGGACTGTGGGAGGCACATTGGCAAAGTGACCACGATCGAGAAGGTAAGCTGCCACTTCTCTGAACCCCGTTTCACCAACCCGAACTGAACGTTTCAGACCCGGCTGACCGAGGGCCTTCCCGACAAACCCTTTGGGGTTGTTGGGGGCATAAGGCTCTTCATCTGTGGGTTTCACAATGGCAATATTTTCATATTGGCAATTTTTGAAATAGTATGCACCTCCAAGGCCGCCATGAGTGGGGGTTGGATTGACACCATTTCTCATTGCTATTGTGATTTCTCTCACTAGTGGCTTTACTACAGCAAAATGATCTGAAAATCCAAGTATCTCAATTGGGCTGCTCTTGTCACTCTGCTGAAGATGATCCTTTGCACGTGGCGAAAGACATGGAGTCGATGAGCTTCTGTGCATGAAGTTCCTTGTGAGGAGAAGTGGAGAACAGTTTCTAACTTCACTCAGATCATTTTTCAGTATTACATCGCCAAATATCAAGGATCTCTCCTCCGTTGGGATGTTGAGGGCAAGCTGTAGCTTTCTCTTCACCGTGTGGGCGTTATCACTCCCATCTAGTTCAATTCCCAAAACAAATCCTGTTTCAGTTTGGACGAATACACGCCGCCTCCTAGGAGAAGGTTTTCTCGCTTCAATTCGTTTACTTCCACCATACTCACTTGCTGGAAAGTGTCCTTTCAAAGTTGCAACTGCCATATCTCTTTATATGTACAGAGTTAACTCGAGATCAGAAAACGTTGAAGAAGGTCAAAGAGAAGAAGCTGTACAATTCAGAGCCAGCAGCAGAGATGGCGACACCAGAGAGCTTTTCTCTCAAGCAGACACCATGCTTGAATGCCAGCAATAAACAACTAGAAATTTTTGTACCGGACATAACCATGATCAAAGTAGCTTGCCAAAATTTACTCTTGTAGCTATCAGGTTGGAGTGGTTGCAGCTATGAAATAGATCTGGAGAAACTGCAATGCTGTTGGACAATCCATGTGATAATCCTGGCTAATCAAATCAAACGTGTTAAATGCTTGTCAGAAGTATCACAAACCACACTGAAGAAGCTCGGCAAAAAGAAACTGTCAAACAACCTAAGTTGAATGAACTTTGACATCCTTAATCTACTCAGAGCAACCACGAACCACATCCAAAGATACTAACTACGACGAAAGCATCCACAGAAATGCCTGCCTCCCAACTTGATTGAACAAACAATGGACGGGAAACAAAATAACGGTAGTATTGTAACATAAACATCACATCAGAAAGGATTAACGAATACAGTCATTCTACAAAGTCAGAAACAGAAACCTAACCACCATAAACCAGCGAAGCGAATTAACTTCAGCGAATCACGATTCAAATCAATTGCATCGGTAGTATTGTAACAACAACATCGCATCAGAAAGAACTAATGAATACAGCCATTCTACAAAGTCAGGAAACAGAATCCTAACCACCACAAACCAGCGAAGCCAGTAAAATTCAGCGATCCAGATGTTGAGGACGATTCATTTCAATTACATCCGTCAGTACGCAAAGTGCAAAATTCAAAACACCAATGACCTACTTCACACTCATCCATTCATTTCTTCTGATGAGATCAATCATATTACACTCATCGGTGAAGAATGAGCCAAACAAATACATAACGGACGCGGAACAGGCGTTCACAGAGATTCCTCGGTTTCCCGCCATAAAAAATATGCTCGAGAATTGGATCACAGTCTCATAAACAAAGCGGTGGAAACAAACGAAGAGCGATTCGGAACGAACAAATCAATTGATGGGAGAGAGAGAGAGAGAGAGAGAGGGGGGGGGGGGGGGGGGGGAAGAGGCTCACCGGGGAACAGAAGAAGCGACATGATGACGGAGATTCGGAGCAGTGACGGCGGAGACGCGAGGGAGAGCAGCCACCGCCGTTAGGACGAGGGACGGAGGCGGAAGGGGGAGGGGAAACGGAAGTTGAAGCAGAAGCGGAAGCACAAATGGAGGAGGGCGGGGGAACGCTGCTGGTGGAATGGGAAGGGGAACGAAGGAAGAAGAAACGCAATTTGCTTAAGAATTCCCTCTTCTCTCGCACTTTCACTCGCTTGTTTTCCCGCACCCTCCTTTCTTCTCCCGCTTCGGAGTTTTTTTTATCCCAACTTCCTTTCCGGAGAAGCGGAGACCTCCCCCTAACGGAAATTTATTAATTAATTTCGCATTTCTGTTTGTTTATATATGTTTCGTTTATTTTGGAATACGATAATTTTTCCCAGCCATTTTTGTTAGTTATTTTGTCCATTCACAACAAATTTCAAGAGTATATTTCAACCAGAAGCCAAATTAGGGTAGAAAATGATTCGGGTGGTCCCTATTTAATTTTATGTGATTCATTCAAAATTTAATGGTAAATTATCTCCTCGAGATGTAAAAAAATTCTCAAAAACGTTTTGTCTCATCCGCTAGAACTTGAAGAACTCTCAAAGGATTGGCATATTCAGATCCAATACGTTGTCGTAGTCCCACGGATAATATATGAAGATATAGTAAGAACAAGGTTTATATGCGTAAAAGGATAATTTGAGGGAAAAAATGTCCACAATATATTCACGAGATGGGAACACTAATGTTTATGCGTTTAAATTAAACTGATGTTGATGTATTTTTATTATTATTATTATTAGATCAGAGAGTTGAATAAGATGTTGTTAAAGAGCGTACGAGTGTACACTAGTATGGAATTTATTTGTTCAATGTTGACGTATTGTAGTTTTTGTCAGCATACCACTGAGATGTTACTAAATTAAGAGGCGTATGAGTAATACATAATTTGTTAGAAAGTGATCTTACAAAGGTTCACTTCTTTATTCAAAAAGTTGTAAATGTACTTGCTAATTAGTCATTGCCTTTATGTTAGTTCAATAATCAATCATATGCATTGTTGGTACGTAAGAGTTCTTGATAAATTTTTGATTAGTATGAGTATCACGTTACGATAATGATAGTGAGTAAGATGCAAACAAAACGATAAAGACACAAGCATAGACAATTGGGAAAAGAGTATATAAATTATCATTTATTAGGGGTACTAGGTTCATACCCCTCTCACTATGGTAAGACAATTAATTAATTAATATATATAAATCTGAAGTAAACCGTTTACTGTCCACTAAAAATTATAGATTAGTCACTATAATGTACAATATTATATTTTGATACTCCAAATTTAATTTTTAATATAAAATCATTGAAAATATTTTGGTACCTAAATATTATAAGATTTGCATACCTACAATTTTTTAAATTTACATATTGATCCAATGTTTAGATTTCACTTAAATCCATGAATCCAATCCACCAATCCTTTTGAACCAATCATGAATCCAATCCACCATAACATAAAAGTATAAATTTAGTTTGTACAATACAAGATGTTGTATCACTCAACTATGGAGAAGATTCAATCATTTTATATTTGCTCATTACGTGAAACATAAAATAAATGATAAAAGAGAGACGTCTCTAAAATATTGCAAGAACAAATTTATAAACTCATTTGGTACATTTACTGCGTACTAAACAAACTTCTACTAACTACATGTGACAAAATATGCGACATCTACATAAGCAAGTGTCAATAAATTGCTACGGTGCAAAGGGTTGACTGTTGTATTGACGACCACCTAAAAGAATTGGTCAAAACCTTTTCATCATCTACTTCTTCTTCGTTTCATTTTTCACTCGCCTTTCATAACCCTTTTTTTTCTTTGCCTTCTTCGTCTAACCATAATTAGTATATTATTTAATGATCACAATATGAACGGGTCTATACACGACTCACCAACAATCTAAAGAACTAATAATTGAACCATGAATCACTAACTTTTTCAGCTCAATGTCGAGTCCAATTAAAAATAAATATATATGATTATTACTTATTAGAAAGACGTCATTTTCCACTATGAGATTTGAAGGCTTGGAATTTTAAGCGAGTTCCAGTTTGGATTCCTTTTACTTCTCACTAGGGTTTTTCTTTTTCACCCGACCTTAAATTTTCAACAAATATACATGGAATGTTTGGCTAGTTATCTACCCAAATAAAATAAATAGTTTCTGTTTTCTATAAAAAAAAGTAAATAATTATCATCTTAAATACATCACAATGAAAGGAATTAAGTCTCAACTATGCAAATTACAGTTATGTACCTAAACTTAATAAATCTTTAGATTTATAACCTAAATTAATTTTTTAGCATATAAGTCCTCAAAAAATATTGATGAAACATTACATTTAGTACCTAAAATTTTTGTGTATTACATTTTGGTACCTAAACTTTGAAGTTCTACAAATAGGTCTAATTTTTGTACGTGTAATTAAAACACCTTGAATAAATAGGTATTCATACCCAACTCATACACATTTAGATTATGGAAGTAAATATCCATACCCTATCCAAACTCATCTACAAACTTCCAAACTCATATATACGTCACTCATACCCTACCTATAATCAATGGGTCTACTTGGGCTTAGGTAAATATCATTTACTAGCCAAATTTTTTAAAAAATTAAATTGAATGTTGACTGCTATATATTTCTTCTTAGTCAATATCATATTGTCCAAGTCAATATTACTAACAAAACCGCTAACAAAAAAATTAACTTTAGACTAATAATGCTAACAAAACATCATAAATGGACCACATAACATAATGCATGCTTATTGGCTATCTCCGTCCCGTGATAAGGGTGCGATATCGCCACTTAATTATTACATACAAATCTAAATCCTACTTACTGTTCACTAAGAGCTTCACTAAGTTCCACCATGATCATTTATTTTTGTAGCGGTGACTCTCTCCCCTCATCTCTTTCTCTTCCCTAACATTTGCATCTAATCTATCGTCCCTTTACATTTTATTCTTCACATAATACATGCCTAATGCGGTAGATCAAACTTTGAGGTTTCATATTTCCCTTTCCTCTGCTCAATTTTTTTCCTCTTAAAGTGTTTCTGGAATTTAGAAAGGATATTAATTAAACCATAAGAGATAGTGGTGACGGGGTTTCAATTGCAAAAAAATGACAGATTATTCTATTATAAAGTAAGAAAGCGATGATCGATAATTAGTGACAAAAAGATCGTTTCGTCGGTAATTCGATTATGTATCAATTATTGTGTATGATTTTGTAGTACCTTATAAACTACCAATCTATGTTAAAAAAAGGAAGCAAGCGATGATCAACAATTTGGATAGGTTGTAATTAATCCATTTTGCTTTTACCCCTATTTATGTTATCTCGATCAAACATTTAGATCTTTTTTCTTCGTGTTCCTGAAACCCTTACGTACACATGCATGCAACACCAGCTGCCGCCATTGATTCGCGATTAACATTTCTCTCCATCCTCCGGTTATGGAGAACTTGATTATTTTCTCCAAGTATGTCATAGATGGTCATTGCAACGAGAGTTAAAATCAATGTTATCGCTTATAGTAACATGTTCGGGATGACTTGCAAACACTACTCGGGACCATAGGCGGAGGCAGGGTGTTTGGGATGTGTCCCAGGACACAGGTAAGTTTTGGAAAAAAATTAATATATTTTTATATATATTTATACAAGGAATCAAATATTCAAATTCATCGCAGTGATAGAGTATAAAAAGTATTTTATCACTACAATACAACTCAGTGGTTGTTATTTGATTGATATTAAATTAATTTATACCCTATAAATGAAATCTTCAATTACAATAAATCTCTATTTGAGTTCTTTATTCTCAATTACCCTATTCAATTTTGTCCAAGAACTATGAAGCTTGACAACTACTGGCCTCTCCCTTTTCTAGCCTGCTAGTTTCCATTCAATTTTAATTTTAATTATTAAATATATTTTTTTATATTTTGAAAAGAGTACGCACCTAATTTTACAACCTGGCTCCGTCACTGGCTCCCAAATAATCTACGCTTGCTCACCGCATCGAAGTGCGGCCTTATGTCTAGTATATATATATAACTATGATAGAAATTGTATCACCATTGCTAAACGAAATTATACACCGGATCCAAAACAATCTATGTATCGGTTAGTGCATAGTTGTGTTCTATTTAATACGGTCCTAGCATAGTTTTCGATATAAGATCCAAAAATCTGTAAAAACTTATGGCTAAATTACACGTTTGGTCACTCAAATTATACAAATCTTTCACGTTTGTCACTCGAATTACTTTTCTTTCTTATTCGCCACTAACTTTACGAATCGTTTCACGGTTGGTCACCGGCCGTTACACTCTGTTAAGTTTGTCCTACGTGGCAGTCAACTATAAAGTTTGACCGTTAACTAGATGACGTGGAAATTAAAAAAAAATAAAAAAAATAAAATTTTCTTTCCACCTCATCATTGCACTTATTTTATCTATATAATTTATCATATTAATAATTTAATAAAATTTAATAAATTACAAAAAATGGGCAAATCAAATTCCGGGGAATCACGTCAGGGCGGTGGTTATAATCCTTTGCGAAGCACTTGCTCAGAAAGTCTATTCCCGATTCCGACAACTACCCTGGAAATTCCGGCCGGCATCCGTTCCTGACCTCCATTTCTCTTCCCGTTTCTCTTTTCCAAAGGCCCTCCGTTGAGGCACTGAACGTTTCCCGGAGTACAGATGAACTTGCCGATGACTTGGTGCTCGACAGAGAGCTGTGCCGAGCATGTTGATCGCCGCCGCCTCCTTTGAGTTGACGCTTGAGGATCTTGGTTCTCCACTCGTCCAGCACATCATCGATCTCGTAGGAGACGTCCACGACCTTCTTCAACCATTTTTTGATGCCTTCATCCTTCCATTGCTTCTCTTCTGCATCCAACAGCAGAGCTCCGATGGCGGTGAAAGTGGATTTGAGCTTCTCCACATCTTTCGCAGCGCCGAGGACAAGCTTCCCGTGTTTCTTGAGCTCTTAGGCGGTGATGGAACTCAGCTGGGTCAGGACTACAGAAACAATGGCTTCTGCTATAACCATGATGATGGAAGCGAATTAACCTGATCAGCTTTGAGGAGATTGACCGATGATCCCGACGGCGGCACTTCTTTGGTACCGTGACTGCACTGGTGCCGTCTCATTATTCTGGCCGGTTTGATTAATATAATTGTGATTTGGAATGGTTGAAACCAGACAGATGGGTTATTATTTTGGGTGGG